GTGATATCAGACTTTAAGATTGACACACAGTGACGCAGTGTTATACTGGAAAAAGAAGGTAGTCTGCTTCCTGGCCCAGACAGGGCCTTTTTGGGTGTAGTTTGCATGTTCTTCCCATGTCTGGTTTCGCCTGTGTGCTTTGGTTCACCCTACGTAGAATAGGTCTGAATATGGGGTTTTAGAATGGTACATGGTGGGTCTGTGTGGGTGCTCTGCCATACACCAAACCTTTTCAAAATGTTAGCATAGTTTTTGTTTTGTTTATAGGAATATAATATGTTTTCAGGAAAACAAAAACAATTATGTTATAATGCTGCACGTTTAATGTGTGTTCTCAATAGGGCTGTCAAAATTATTGCGTTAAAAACTGTTCACGCAATTAAAGGCGCTATACCCGTTTCTGCAATGTTTGAATGTTTAGCACCGCCCCCCAACTCGCTCAATGGCTTCTCATTTCCCCTACGCTCTCATCCCACGGAGCCACCTAGTTTTATTTGCGATCTGATATGTATGCTAACATTAGCATTAGCGCAAGTTCTTGTAAGCTGTGCAACAATCACTGATGAAATGGTACAGAAGCAATGCATTGCTAATACAATATATAAGTAAAAGAATACCGCTAGTTTTGTGTCCGAATGTATTCATTTAAACATTAGAATATATTCTAATATTTAATTATAATTTATTATACAGCTCCTCACAGCAGTAGAACACTCCATTGACGTGAATGTAATTCTTCCGATCATTTTTTCTTGATAACAGAACTCTCAAATCAATAATGACCGCTGCCCTTTGACAATGCAATCTCTGTTTGTAATTCAGGTGTGTAAAATAGTGCCATTACTCCGCAAGTACAAGCTATCAGCGCCTGTCACTACACTGTGCAGTTTTTCTGCACACTTGTCTGTGTAGAGAAGCTAGCGGAGCTAGCCACGCTCAATAAACAAATACATATCTATCAATCAACACCATTAAATCTTAATCGGACAATACAGTATACATATACATCCTTAACACACATGCACGGACGATTTCAGAATTTGCTGTCAACGTTTTCATGACAAAAATACTGTTTTAAAGTGACAAAAAGCGATCGCAAAAAACCCGGAAGTTACCATGAAACAGCTAGCTAGCTTAGCTGTTACCTGCCTAGCACGTCCTGGTGAAACTTTTGGGAGCTAACTATTTTATTTGCAGTCATTAAATACATTTTGAATTATAAGGGCTGTCTAATATTTGTTCGAATATATATTTTTTTAATTTTAGAATTATATTCGAATTTTGAAGTCGAAGCCCTGGTGTTAAGCAGCGCTGTAGAGGCTAGAGGACCCAGGCTGTTCACTGCTCGTTCTGTGAGCGGAGGAGAACAAACGGCCTGCTAAGACTCTACTCAGCACTTTTCACGGCATAAATTTCATACACAGCTGAATCAATTACCTCAAGTTTTCAATTAAATTATGTATTATGATACAACTTGTATGTAGTAAAAAGCTTTTTTATGAACTACTTAGAAAAAAAATCGGGTATAGCTTCTTTAACGCATGCCCATGCAGCCCATAATAACACTCAGAATGCCACAGACACGTGTGTGTGAGATGGCAACAGAGCAGGTCTCTGGGAATTCAAGTTTTAAAAGAATACACGGGTTTCCTGTATGAACTCTGCAAGTTGAGCTGCGGGCGCTCCGGACAGAGGTTCCCACCTCCAGCGGCTGTGATCACGGCGAACGGCGCCGCGTAACGTGATCATATCCAAGGCCACGCACAGAACTATTCTCTGATTGTAATGTGTAATGCGCTTTGCTGGACTATGGAGTCTCAGTCTCAGTCTCCTCCTTGTCTCTTGTGCACTCGCTAAATTAAAGCTGGGGTACCTAATTTTCCCTTCCACTACCAGTTCATGACAGATTTCATGACATTCTGCATTTCAGACTGTTTTGAAATGTCCATCATCTGTAACAAACTATAGCTTTGGTCTGAGTCTAAACAGAAAGACAGAATGTTAATAATGTTAATGCCATTTTATATGGATTTATTGTTATAATAAACAAATACTGTACATATGTACACTGTTGTCATTTATCTTTCCATTCAAACAACCATTTACAGAAAAATATGGCATCATTTTGCCGATAGTTTGAAATGCGATTAATTACGATTAATTAACTCGATTAAAAATAGTAATCGTTTGACAGCCCTAGTAATCAATAGTAATCACTGTGAACTCCTTCTGTGGCCTGACAAGGCAGATAATATCTCAAATGATAAAGACTTTTACTTGTACACACTCATTTTCAAACTAAATTCAATATTTTTTTAACATTAGACAACAGCACATATCAAATTTATCAAGGAGTAAAATGAAATAAAAGTGATCCTTATTTTTGGCTTTTTTTTTTTCGTTTTCTTTTTTTTTTTACTTTTTACTGAAATAAGTTTCACATTTCCTTGTCTCAGTTTCAAACATCCAGCTGAAGTGTAATTGAAAGCAGCACTGAAGCCCAATCTTTTGTCTTGGCTGTCTTTCTCTATGTGCTCTGGGCCCATCTCTTGCAAGCATGCTTCTCACACTCTGTTTTTTGATTGATGATGATTGTGGACTTCAGGAAGAGCACTGTCCCCCCGCCCCCACCCTCCGTGATGGACTCCCCCATCACCTCTGTGGAGTCCTTCCGTTTCCTGGGCACCACCATCACCCAGGACCTCAAGTGGGAGCCGACCATCAGCTCCCTCATCAAGAAGGCCCAGCAGAGGATGTACTTCCTGCGGCAGCTCAGGAAAGCCAAGCTGCCTGCACAGATGTTGGTGCAGTTCTACACGGCCATCATCGAGTCCATCCTCTCCTCCTCCATCACCGTGTGGTTCGCTGGAGCCACAGTCAGGGACAAACAGAGACTACAGCGCATTGTGCGCTCTGCAGAGGAAGTGATCGGCCGCAGCCTTCCATCGCTGCAGGACCTGTACGTCGCCCGAGCTCGAGGCCGGGCTGGTCGTATCACAGCCGACCCCTCTCACCCTGCACATGGACTATTCCAACCACTCCCCTCAGGCAGGAGGCTGCGGTCCATCAGGACTAGAACCTCCCGCCACAAGAACAGTTTCTTCCCCTCTGCTGTTGGACTCTTGAACACTTCTTAACCTGTCCCCCCGCCCTTTATAAAGTCACTTTACTGCCCATCATACGTCACTTTACTTCACTGTACTGCTGTCACCTTACATTGTGTGCACCATGTGCACTTGTATATTGTAAATAGTAACTGTAACTCTATTTTAAATTTAAATTTATTCTTTAGAAGTGTTTTTTATTCTTATTTTTATTATCTCTTTTCGACTGTTGCACTGAGCCAAAGCAATTTCCAAGTCTGTGACCTCCCGTTACTTACGTTGGCAATAAAAATGATTCTGATTCTGATTCTGATTGATTTTTGAAAGGTGAGCTATAACAAGGCACATTGCTGCTGTCTGGTTTTAACAAGGCGAGTATCAGTGTGCTTCTTGTTCATTAGTATCACACATCACACCTCCATCACCCTTAGATCTGCAAGAGACAGAGGTAGGTGTCAAAATGACTCTGTGTGCATGTGCCTGTGCCTTTACTGGGACTTTTTTATTAATTTCTTTTCCTCTCCCTGCCTCCGGTTCTTGAAAATGAATGCCAATTCACACCACTGCTTGCCATTCTATTTCTCAATGTCTGCGCTACTGTGCCCTTCACTCATTTGCACATTCTCCAGTAGTGGTCTAAGTGTTCTGTTTCAAAATTGTTAATTGTTCTGTTGCATCTTAACATAATAAGATAAGATATCCATGTAATTTCAGTTGATTCATATTATACCAACTATAGGCATGACAATGATGTCATAGATTACATTTATATCCAGGTACAAATTAATATTAAAGTCGGTAATCGCTACTGGGTTGTATAGGTATATAGAGTCATGCCTTTTTCAAAAGGCATGAGAAAGTTATTGTGAACCATGTTTGGAATAATCCAGTTGAATTCATCATTTGGGTGTGATTTTCAGAGTTTTTTTATGCTTTTAGTTGCATTTTTATCCACAGGATATTAGTTGTCAAGCAGATTTAGGAGGTCAAGAATGTTGTTTTCTGCAGGCCATTGATTAATATTAATGACCAGCAGCCATTGGAAGTTATCAATAGGTCAGAGGTTATCACAGTGTTGCAGATGCAGTAAGTTAATGTAATTAAAGATGCATCGTGTTGGTGAAGTCTTTGTCAAGCTGTCAATCTTAGTTTTTCATTTTACTGTACATGGCACTAAGGTCTTCTATCTGTGTGGAGGTAATGTTTATCTATAATTCTCAATTTATTATTTCTCAGAGTGATGTTGAAGGTAATCCAGTTGTCTGTTGTCAAGTAAGCCTATGAATTTCACCTGACACAAACCATCACATGGAGGCCCAAAGTATAGAGCTCTTCAGGGCTTCTATCCAGTCCATCTTAAGCTTTCATTGGCAGATTTCTATTATTACTTCTATTCAGTAGGACTTTATCTAAGATTCTTGCACAACTAGGCATAGAATCATCTCTCCAATACTTGTATTATGATGTGTGCCCCTACACCTCCTGCTGAGCTGTAGTATATACTGAAAACAATGACTTAGAGCCACTGTTCGCATCCTGCCCCTGTCAATACAAACAATATACACACACTCAAATGATCAATGCATCTTTTCCTATTCCTCATCGATTTAGAATAATCCTGCTCAAAAATCACTAAGTAATGATTGGCAGTAGAGGTTGCTAATCAAGTTTTGATTGAAACAGGTCCTTGGGGAAACTTCTTCCCGTTTTATTTGTTTGGGTGTCTTCAAAGATGGCTGTCACAATTGAGATATGTGTATCAATCATAATGTAATAATCATGATGAACTAATCAGCAGAGACAGAGACGGCTATAGCTATGTCATATTGCTTCTAGGTTAGCTGTATTGAGAATGTGATTTGAACATTTTTTAATTAGCTGCTTTTGCCTTCACAGAGTTCCAGGAGTAACCATTGCCACTGATATCATTTGTGGTTTTCCCGGAGAAACGGAAGAAGACTTTCAAGAAACTATGGAGCTGGTGAAGCACTACAAATTCCCCAGTCTCTTCATCAACCAGTTTTACCCTCGACCTGGGACACCTGCCGCTAAAATGGAGCAAGTGCCTGCACATGTGGTAAGAACTTTACCCTGCTATCTAATTCACTATACATTATACTAAACATGCTCAAAATACTCATCATTATGTTTGATGGTGTACTTCTGCCATGACCTGATTAGCATACCTTTCCCAAATCTAAAGTTATTGCTAAAATACATAACTTTAACCTGACTGTGAAATGATATGTTGTCAAGTATAAATTTGCTATCATTGCCACAAATACCCTATATCTGTAGATTATGTTGATTTATTATACGGCTCCTCACAGCAGCTGTAGAACGCTCCATTGATTTGAATGTAATTTCAAAACGTTCTATCGGTCATTATTTTCTATAACGGACCTCTCAAAACTATATTGGCCGCTGCCCATGGCAACGCACTCTCGCTTGTCTTTCAGATGCGTGGATAACTCCGCAAGTAGTTCCGGCCACTCCGGAGCTAGCCACGCTCAATAAACGCAAATACCAATCAATCAACGCAATTAAATGTTAGAGAATACATTATACATATACAGTCTTAATACAAGTGCACGGAAGTTTTTAGAATTTTCCGTTTACGTTTTCATGACAAAAACTCTGATGTAATGCGAGAAAAGGCCATCCCGAAAAACCCGGAAGTAGATACCGGCACATTTTAAGATACCGGCACATTTTAGGACACATTTGCAGAGGATCGAATTATGGAGTTAGGTTAGGTTTATGTTTGGGTCACTCACCGCTGATGTTCAGAATTCTTTGTTCAGTTTTCATGCAGTTCCAGGGAGTTCTAGTTTGGAAGTTGATAGCCTAACTGTTGCTAGCATAGCCACGGGAAAGCTTTTGGGAACTATTTTATTTTCTTTCGCGTCGGGGTCCGCTTCGCCCTGTCGGTACTTATTTTCTGATAATGACCTGCGTAATATACGTTATCCCTTACATATTGTTTTTTGTTTTTTTATGACAAATTTATATTTGTTTTGTATTAAAGTATTTAAATGTAGGGCTGGGCGTTAAAACGATAACGATATATATTGCGATAGACACGTGTTCGATATCAATAGAAAATGGGGTCGATAGAACTTCGATAGTTTCACTTCAGTCCGTTCGAAAAAAACAGGAACAAAACACAGGAAGTAAAGCCGAGTCAGAAGCGCACGGCATTCTGGGGGATGTAGGCAAAGGCTTCTCGACCTATCACATCCGACTACAAACCGCAAAGCTTTCTGGGAAAAACAAAAAAACAACCGCACCATGCGTAGCGTCCATGGATCATGGATCTATTATAACAGCCATGGATCTAAAGATTGTGTTTCAGTGCCGTGTCAATGGTTAAACACGTCCATGCGAGGAACAGCATGTGCAGCGCAGAAGAGGCAGAGGGTACAGAGACTTGATGCATTCGGCAAAAGCAAGAGATTAACTTTTTCCGGAGCCGCCACAAGGACACAAGACACTCGAAAACAGCCAAAACAGGAGCTAAACAAGGACTAAAGTGGGGGAGACTGCTTGTGAACATTTGGCTCCAGCCTCATTCCCCCATGACTGTAAACAAGGCTGCTAACATGTGTTAGCCGACATGACAAATGTATTTATTTACGTTTTAAAAAATCTATATATTTCGTTTTCGACCGATGTGAATTACTTATATTGTGATATAGTTTTGATCCATATCGGCCAGCTCTATTTGAATGTATGTGTTTAAATAATCATCGGCTACTCCTGCTATGTTTTGAATTGGTCTTGAATTCCAGAATCCAGAATACCTCCAGGCCCTGTGCCCTGCTCGGCTAAATCAAACAAGAGCTCACACTCACACTACACACACAGACCTGCTGGTTCATTATTTATTCTCTCTGAATTACAGTGGGGCAAAAAAGTATTTAGTCAGCCACCAATTGTGCAAGTTCTCCCACTTAAAATAATGACAGAGGTCTGTAATTTTCATCATAGGTACACTTCAACTGTGAGAGAACGAATGTGAAAAAAAAAAATCCAGGAATTCACATTGTAGGATTTTTAAAGAATTTATTTGTAAATTATGGTGGAAAATAAGTATTTGGTCAATAACAGAAATTCAACTCAATGGAAGGAGGTTTTGGCTCAAAATCTGTCGATACACGGCCCCATTCATTCTTTCCTTAACACAGATCAGTCGTCCTGTCCCCTTAGCAGAAAAACAGCCCCAAAGCATGATGTTTCCACCCCCATGCTTCACAGTAGATATGTTGTTCTTGGGATGCAACTCTTTCTCCAAACACGACGAGTTTATACCAAAAAGTTCTACTTTCGTTTCATCAGACCACATGACATTCTCCCAATCCTCTGCTGTATCATCCATGTGCTCTCTGGCAAACTTCAGACGAGCCTGGACATGCACTGGCTTCAGCAGGGGGACATGTCTGGCACTGCAGGATTTCATTCCCTGTCGTCGTAGTGTGTTACTGACGGTAACCTTTGTTACTTTGGTCCCAGCTCTCTGCAGGTCATTCACCAGGTCCCCCCGTGTGGTTCTGGGATTTTTGATCACAGTTCTCATGATCATTTTGATCCCACAGGAGGAGATCTTGCGTGGAGCCCCAGATCGAGGGAGATTATCAGTGGTTGAAATATCGTTTTGGGCTATCTTTTATACAGATTATGAGTTCAAACAGGTGCCATTAATACAGGTAACAAGTGGAGGACAGAAGAGCTTCTTAAAGAAGTTACAGGTCTGTGAGAGCCAGAGATCTTCCTTGTTTGAAGTGACCAAATACTTATTTTCCACCATAATTTACAAATGAATTCTTTAAGAATCCTACATTGTGAATTCCTTTTTTTTCACATTCTGTCTTCACAGTTGAAGTGTACCTATGATGAAAATTACAGACCTCTGTTATTATTTTAAGTGGGAGAACTTGCACGATCGGTGGCTGACTAAATACTTTTTTGCCCCACTGTACATCAAGTATCGTTACACACTTTAGAATTTATGAATGTAGAATATTTTGACAACCCCTAGTACACTGACCCTGTGAGATTGAGATTTCAGCTCATAGGCCATTCTTGCCCTTTGCCGGAGTGTGCCAAATAAATCGTTGTCACTACTTTTAATCTTAAACTTTATTTTATACATGCTCTCATCTTTTATTAGTTTAAACTTTACAACTATACACTATATACAGTCTTATCCTACAGTTTTGATTTTGTTCCCCCTGTATATCATAATTTAGTTGGACATTGAGTTTTTCTGGTTTTATTTTAAAACACATAGCATATTGTTTTAGTAGTTCTGTTTAATCTTCAACTAAGGCACGCTTCCTTCATGTACTTGATAATCTTTGATCGTATACTTGAGTGTGACCTCCGGTGCTGTACTGTATGCTGTATTTTCTGTCTCTTTTGGCATTTGCTCTCCATTCCTCTTTACCATCAAAGTGTTGACACATCTCTTTCAAGTGGAGTGTCTTCATAAGTCATTCTCTTTCTCCCTCGTTCCTCCTTCCTTTCTTCATACTCTGTGGAGCCGCTCCGAGTGTCTTCGAGGGATCAATCCCTAGACAGACCACATTGCTGCTTCTCCCCTTATCTTTTCTGCCTTCCTGTTCTTCCTGCTCCATCTGCCTCTTCTGACTTTATTGTCAGCTCTTGTATCTCAGCATGCATCCACCCTTTATTGCAGTGATAGCTCTTTGATTGTCAAATGGTGGCACATTTTCTTTTTCTTTTTGCTTTATCAGCACTTTTTCGATTTTGGAAGAGTTTTGTTGTTTGTTACTGCTAACTTGTCCAAGAAGGTTATAGCTACAATGATTTACTTATTCACATTTATAACCTGCAGTCCTGCCCCTCTCATTCCCAAGATGTCTTTGATCTCACCTTTGACTTTTCCACAACCGAAATTAGTAAGAAATAGTAGCTGATCAAAATAATGTATAACAGATTTTAAAATTACACGTAAATTATGATAACTAATCAATGATATTTTTCATTAAAGGAGGTACACATGCAGATTTGTAAATGTAAGTAAATAAAAGTATTGTTGGATATGCTTGATATAACTATCAAGTACTTCTCAAGCCACAGGTTTTAATGTTCTAAGGTACATGTAACAGAAATGTCATGGGGACGCAAAGAATTAACATTCATTATTCACAGGGCTTACTGAAATCTTGGTGTTTGTTCCTGCATGAAGCTAACTTAACCCTAACCCCAATCCTTACCTTACCCTCAAGTAAATGTGCAATGCCTGTCAAAAACTATTATATTTATTTACATCTTTATTTATAAAATTTTGTGTTTTTAAAAGCCACAAATGACACCAAAAAGTGAATATTTCTTTGGGCCAGAAACAACCAGATGAAGATCCTGGTAAGAGCGGGACTGTGCTTTTGCTTACCTCAGCTTAGCTGTTAGCTTCCATATCGGCAATATATGGAGTTCCAGCATTTTATCAATCTGTATTGAAGCTGTACTGCCTCCAAAACTTGGAGTCAAAATTAATAGATAAATGCTCGAATGCCATTCTGTTTCTTCCATACTGTATATGTAAGGGTAATCCTATTAGACGGAGTTCAGTGTCTGTTTACAACATATACTCCAGCAGCTTTTTCCACCAGGCACTTGCAACGGCCTGCTAAATTAAAACCCCTCTTTCCCTGGTTCCCAAAACAAAGCTGTGCAATACCAACGTATAAACTTTCCTCAATTCTCTCTTAAGCAATCTCCAAATTATAGGTTTTGCTGTATAATGTTATGAGAACATTTATTCGTAGTCGCTTGAAAAAAGTAGTACCTATTAACCAAAGAATCTTATATCTAAAATCTAATAATGTGTTTTTCTTTTTTTCTTTTACAAGGGTGAATTATTCTAGTCGTATGAAGTATAAAGCCCAAGATGATGGAGTTAACATCTGTTATCAGTGCTTAGGAGCTTCATTTGTGTGACAGGCAGTAAGATTCTGGCAACCAAAGTAAGATAGTTTTTTTTTTTTTGCCATTATTGAAGAGTGCAAACTACATATGGTCCCTTTAACTATCGAATACACACAGCTTTGTTCCTGGTGTACACCTGTATTGGTAGATCAAGCTGCACTCTTTGTCCCATCATCAGTTAGTGTGCACCTGTTTACAGACACATGCGCACACACTCGTGCGCACAGCGTATGGTGGCAGCTCGACGTCGTACAGGCCGCGCAGGGTCAGTCATTAATAAAGAGCAGCAGATGGTTTGTCTGGAGCACAAGTGTGTTGAATAACCACAGGAGGGATGGATAGAGCAGGAAGCACAGGCGCACAGAAGATGATGTTCACAAGGCACAAAGCTAAAGGGGAACAGAGATTGATGAAGAGACTTAAGTGAGATGTAAAGTAACATACCTTTTTATATCCATGTGCTACAGCTGTAAACCTCAAGCAACAAATACAGAATTTTCTTTAAAGAATTATTGTTGTGACTGCAGAATAATGGCTGTTGGGTTTAGATTCTGTTTGTTTTGACTTGTAGAATTGCATATTTCACAAATCATGTGTAATAAAGAATTGATTTTAGTTCCAGTGATTGCTTAGTGACTGTGATGAGGAATCGTCACCACCCACACTAGTTGGGAGCAGTGGGGGGCGGGTCCCGGCTCAAAAGTGGCCAAAATGATGTGCGCTGACATGCTTGCAATACCACCTCTGGCCGATGGGGGGTGGACCTGGAATAAGAATTAGCCTATGCTAACATATAGCATCTTCTTACCTCTCGATAACGTCTTTACAGGATGGTCCAAAAGTTGGCTCTTGGCCCAAAGCTCTGTTCCACATGTGTGTCAATGCTGCGGGGAGAGATTTTTTTTTGGGACCAGTCTAGTTTAGTCGCTGTGAATTTTTTAAGGCACTCGTTAAATGAATGGGGCTCGTGCCGGCTGACGCATGCGCAGATACGTTCGCCCCCGTGGCCATTTTGAAACTGCCCATAGAGTCACTTTTAAGAACCTTATTTTTGAGTTTAAGGAGATCTAGTTGTCCTTGCTTGATCTTCGTTGAACTTGTGAATAATAATAAAAGCTAATTTTACAGAAAATTTTAATACAATATATGATTGGAATTGTATAGCATTAACTATATTTTATCACCCTGGATCTGCACAATGGCTCTTCTGCTGAAAAAGTAAGCATGAATATATTCTTAGCCAGTGCCTTTGGGACAACACAGGTGTATGATGATATGCACAGGGCTCACCTTTAGTAATAGGTGAACAGGGAGGATGGATGGGCCAGCGTAGTGAGGAGGTGGAAAAGTGGACCACAGGGGTGCAGGAACGAGGACAGAGGGGCGCACGTTGAGAATAAAAGGATGCAAATGCTATTAACTCGGATCTCCATAATCATCCCCAAGTGACTTGAATTTAGCCTTGATAAATGGAGGAGTTGAGCTGAGAATGTGTGGACAAAGTTTGGCTTTATGTGTGTGTGGGATGGCCTGTCTGTTAACATGTAAGGAGGAGCTAAAAGTGAGCAGATGTATGACATGAATAAGAAGAAAGTGATCGAAAAGTAGAATGGCTGTCCAGTGGGAGAGCGTTTCTAATTTCCCCAGGTTTTAATTGGTTAAGAACTCTATTGCCCAGGAGGCACCAGTGCAGCAGCTGTCAGTGCAAACATCTGGCCAACCACTAGTAGCTTTATTTCATAGCTTCACTATCATTTATCTATGCCTGCCTGGACACACTCACATGCATAGTTTTCCCTCTTTGCCGTCTCCAAGCACAGGTCCTTTCTCTCACACATATCATGGGACGTAATAACACTTGACTAAAAGCTGCATTAAGGTTGAGTTAATGGTTAAATTTCTGTCTGGAGCCAGCTTGATTAATGAGGTCCTGGTCCACTAATAATCCGCTAACGCACCTGCATAGGTTATCAGGCGGCTGTTCTTTGTACTGCTGTGTTAAGCAGCAGCTCTGACAAACCCTAGTCTTCAGCAGGATGTTAAGCATAAACATTACTAAAATCTATTAACTAAAGTTCTATTCATCTTTAAATGTAGAATAAATCAATACAATATTCATCTAAAGCGTTGTTTTTTTGTTGAAAAGCATGTTGAAGGGCATGTCTCTCTCTCTATATATATATTGCAAAAAATAATGCAAATTAAAGGCTTTGCAATGATTCGCTATGCAAAGTTAAGACTCACCTTTACAGTACGTATCACCCTTACAAACTTTGTGCTACCTGTGCTTTAGGCAAGGATATGTAAATCGAGTTTATATAGCATACAGCATAGACAGATAGCCCCTGGTGTAAGCTCTGTTGCACAGACATCTGTCTGTCATTATCAAAAGACCAACATGTGCAGGGAGCCTGAGGCAAAGGCCCCACTGCTTCCTTGCCCCACGACATACATCTCAACATCTCTTCTCATATGTCTGTACTGGTACATGCTGCTGATACTGTTTTGCATGCACACATCTTTACCTTTCCATTACTCATGAATGTCTGAATAAATCATTGTTTAAAAAAATACAAATAAACACAACCCATAGTCCGTGCATAGGCAGAGATCCAGCTTGGGGTAAAAATGTACACACTGTTTTTCAAGAAAACAAATACTTTTATGTAAATCAGACATGGAAGAATGGACATTATAGTTTCATGATTCAGTGCTGTATGTTTGAGAGCAGGCGCATATTATACTTTTACAGACAGTCTGAGTACAAGTGTATACAACCATGTAATGTCACTTCCCATCATATGTAGCATCCTTCTCTAGTGGCAACAACAGATGGACGCCATAGTAAAAACCATCGTTCATCATCACCTCAGTGACTAGTCCACAGAATGGTCGCGCACAATGGCATTGCATTGCTGAGTTGTCACCAACACAACCTCAACAGTATGCCAGATTAACTTGATGAGCCATGTTAACGGAGATGAGCTCTATCTGATTGTTAACTTTAGGGAGCCACGCACAAGCCATGCTAACAGCGTAGGCACTGGTATATTAATTCAGATGTAGAGCCTATGGGAGAGGTAGCATGTGCTGCTCAGAGTTTGAGCCTGTGGTGTTTAGTGTGTGTATATGAGCTGATGGACTGAGTAAATTCAGGAGGGAGCACTCAGGGTTTGAAAAATCCTTACCTACAGTTACATCTGTCTCACTCTTCCCCATACGCACACTTGAGTGAATACAGTGTGATGGGGTGAATGATGAAAAGTTGGAGAGGGGAGAAGGGATGGTGTTCAGGAGCATGATGAGAGCTTGTGGAGGTTGCTCTAGGCATAGAGTAAGAGAGAGAGATGGATCTGGAGGTACAGCCTAAAAAGGGGAGATGGGAGACAGTTATTAGGGATGAGTTTTCCCCCAGTGAGAAGAAAACACAGGGATCCAGGGAGAAGGTGCAACACTTTATGTACAAAGGCAAAGAGGAAAGAAAAGAGGGTTTAGAGATTGTGAAGATTCCTTTGACACTGAGTTAAAAACCAGAATGGGAGAGACAAGGCCAGTGATTTTACAATTAAAAAAGGATTCAAGAATACAGCATTATTGTTTCAAACCCAAAATAAATGACTGTTTAGTGTACAAGAAAATGACCAAACTGCCAATAAACTATGATTTTATACAAAACTATTAATCAACGTTCTAGATATATTATATATACAGTGAGCTGCTCCACATTGGAGAAAGACACATCACTTGTACACATTGACTGATTGCAAAGAACGCCATCCATGTTCGAGCTGGTTAGCGTCCAGTAGCCTTGTGTAAACAGGAAGAGAAACGGAAACTTATCTCGGAGCCCAAGGTAGTCGCTGAAGTTAGTATTAGCGCCAACGGCTGGGCTTAGCATTGTACTACAGAGCAATTGGGCTGGCCCTGTTGAAAAAAAAAAAAAAACCTTTCTGACCGCGGGTCGTCTTCACATCCCTGTAGTGACGTTCATCTGACCGTGCCCTTAATCACATAACATTACTGAAATCTCAATCTTTGCAAGCATTCTTTACGTTTTTTCTACCAGTCCTCAGGCAACATTCATATGCTGCTGTTTATTCTATAATGATGTATATATAATTGCTGATAGCCGAACAGCTCCTAAGTTGTTTCTGCATGTAGAAATGTAGCCCTAGGACTCTTGAAGAAGGTTATTACTGTATGATATCCAGAGTGCCTTCAGCAGTGGGAGCACATCTCCGTCCTTTTAGCCAACTATGGCCTAATCAACAAGCTAATTAGCGCTTTTTGTAACTGCTTCGGCCTCATGTAACTGATTGCATTAATAAGTGGCACATATCAAACATCATGTCTCTCGCTTGTGCATCTCATTACACATTGAGGACATAGGGGGTTAGGACCACAGTTAATCGCAAAGACTGATGATAAAATCCCCATTTTCCAATTAATACCAAACATACATTTGCCAACATCTGCCATTTTATTTCAAGTATGATTTCTGAAAAATTCTCTTTCCCCCCAGAAAAAGCACCGGACAAAAGAGCTTTCACAACTGTTCCACTCATACAACCCTTACGACCATAAGGTAAGTGTATTTTTTGTCTCAGCACCTAGTATTTTATATTTTCACTGTCTGTTTCTTAACGACAGCAACTCAGAGCCTTTCTCCTTTAGTCTACACATTCTCCATTGGCACACAAGCACTTGTAGGTCACCCTCACTATATTGTCTTAAAGACTGAGTGATGAGTTTGTCATCTCCTCAAGATGAACGCCTCTTGTTAGCAATCTAGTGGATGAGGATGGCTGAAGTGTTGCCTCCTGATTACATTTTGTGTGTGAGTGTCTGCGTGGCCAAAATTGAAAGTCACTGATAAATCTTCTTCTATGTGCATGTATGCCAGCATTTGTGTGGCTCATCCATTATGAGGTTAACATCTGACAGCAGATTGAACATGGTGCTCTTCAGGCATGCTTATGATGATGAGACCCTTGTGACAACACGGGTGGCTGTGTGTGACTTCTTCTATAAAGATGTCCTTCCGAGACTGCCAACTCTTTGACAACATCTGTCACCACATGTTACCAGCTGTAATGGTTTGCCCTTTAAACGTTATTTTTTCTTGATGTTTTCTGCCATTGTTCAATAGTGTCCAATAACCAGAGATGCACACAAGTCTCTGACCCGCAAGTCAAAGTCAAGTCCAAGTCGAGTCCAAGTCCCTGGACCCGCATGTCCAAGTCTCATTTCCTACGCATTAAAATTATGGCCAATACCATTTAAAATGGACTAAAATATATGAATTAATTGTACTGCACTGCTACAAAAAACGTTTTTTTATACGGTATGCAGAAGCACGTAGGGGATGTGTGCAGTTTCAACAATTAAAATAAAGTGCAATAGTCTACGTTACAGAGTTACAAACATGTCACTACAGTGAGGCACAGACCAATTCCCGCACAGTCAAGACCACGGCCAAAAAGTGCTCACAGCCGAGGAGCGTGCACAGCCAAAGAGAGCGCACCGCCATAGAGCGCGCACAGCCAGCGCGCACAGCCAAAGAGCGCGCTCCCTTACCAGCCTGTGAAATGGTTGGATCTGGAGCGTCAGGACTCGCAAGTCCGAAAACGAGTCCGAGTCAAGTCCGAGTCTTTAGGGGACGAGTCCGAGTCAAGTCCCGAGTCTTTAGGGGACGAGTCTGAGTCGAGTCGCAAGTCTCTAAAAATAGCGACTTAAGTCGGACTCGAGTCCCCATCTCTGCCAATAACCATAATATAATTGTTTCCTGATGTAATCTTATAACTCAACATAATGTTAATTCAAAGTTTTAAGGCATTCATGGAAGCATCCAAGTTACACAATGCCTGTTGAGCATATTTAATCTTCAATATTCCCATCCTAGACAACAAAGAATATTTTAACAAGAATAACTTATTTCGACTACCAAACAAAGTAAATGGATTACAGTATGTAGTTATTGTAGCATGCTTTCCTTATCCATCCACCGTCTAACAGTGTTAGTTATATATGTTTAGTATGAATTATTTACTAAATCTTTGGCTCTTTTTTGTATAGTTTATACCATATGTGGAGTTTGTGCTTTCTGTGAAATTGGTATATGTTACGGACTTATTCGATTGGCTGCAATAGGGATCACGTTTTCTGTGTCCAGGTGCACTGCCTGCCACATGACAACACACATTCTTCTTGGTTGTAATTGTTATGTGCTATACAGGAACAGTGTTGAATAGGACAACACAAATTTGTATTTGTATTTTTTTCAGTCACAGCCACAAATGGATATTGAGGTAACTTTTGAGACTCTAAAACGTATGCCATTACACAGGCATCCTTACCCAAAGAAGCAAATCATAATGTCTCTTTCCGTCTCAACTGTCCTCATTTTTGTCACATGAAAATGTTTGTAGTAGTAGCTGTAGTCTATTTATGCTTATCACACACCACTGAATCTAACCTAATAATAACCTGAGAAAAATATGTGAACTAAAATATTGTTCAATATATTTGTTTTGTTTTTTTTATGTGTTATGAGAAAAAATGTAATTAATTTATATCGGGTATATCATCTTGAAGCCATGCTTGACATCTGTATTGAAGCATACAAGCAGAATTGGTTTATCCCTAGACTTCACCTTCACCTGAAGGATTTGAATTCACAAATGCAATGTCTCGACTGATCTGTGTAAATATGGCTCCAGAAATCTCTCATCCATCAGCTGTAGAGCTCAGCCTGCACGCTGTTCTCCTGTAGGTCTCATTCTGTTTCCATAGATTGTGTAGATGTGAAAATAAATCCCTTTGCATTACCAAGCCAGATAGCCATGAGATATGATTTAATGATAATAAATCTAATGTCAAGCATGCTTCCTCCCTGATCAACCACTGTTCCGCTTGCCCTTGCCCATGTCTACACATGGCAAGCTGAGGCAAATCAGCTGGATTAAGCTCCCACATAGCCAGCAGATAGAAATAAATTAAGTCAGATGCCGCCACTGATTTTACATTAACTTGCTTAAGGTGGCTGCCCTTTGGCTTGGTTTATGTAAGGACATTATGTGTTTACCATTGTGTATGCGCGTTCTTGTGTGTGTTTGAAAGAGAAGACCTCAAAGATTCAAAGAGGAGGGAAATTGGCGATTTACACCCATTATTGTTAATATGCATCCTCCTATACGTGCAGAAAGGTCATTAATAAAGACTGAGAGGGGTGGGGGTTCTGGGTGGAGAGAGCTTCATTGTCTGATTGCCCCGGGCCAGACAATATTCTAAACAATGTTTTATGAGGACTAATTGCTTTACCTTTTTCTTCTTTTCTTCACTTATTTTTTACTCAACATCCATCTTTTTTCTTTCAGTGTATTTAACAGTGTTCTACCTATCGGGCTGTTTGTGTGTGTAGGGGTGTGTGTTTGTGATGATTAATGTGAAGTATCCTATAGCCAGATGGTGCAGAACAAGGCCCATCCATCAACAATGAAAAGACCAGTGGGCAGAAAGCTGGCAGAGCACTTTGTCTGAGGCCAGTGCCCCACACGGACGTACACACCCAGGAACTCACTCAGCCTTGCTGCAGATTCGAGTGGTGTTTTCCTTTTGTACTTTTAAATCTGTCTGTGTTCACAAAGTGCTTTCTTCATGAGCTTGATTTGCAGTCTGTGTTTGGGATGTTGTAAAGTAAATTAATGGACTTATAATTATCCAGTACTGCTCCCTTAGTGTTGTGATAAAGAATACTATAGAACACAATTAATGTGCAAGAGGTCCTTGTTTATAGACTTGTTTTAAAGATTATTTGGTATTTTGACATGTGAACCTGACTAAACAGACTTAACTTAGTACTGCACATAATAAATCAAAACAACCGAAATATCCTGTTGTGTGATTCAGGTATGAAACTGAAAGCTGAAGGATATTACAATTCCTTCACAATGCAACTCAAAGTGCAATACAATGCAAAAAAGGACACTTTTTCCTTCAGTTGTATGCACAGTTAAACAGAACTGTTTTAACCTGGATTTGAACTTTGTCTCAGTAAAAAGTTGTCTCGCATGTTCAAGAATACCGGTACTGTTTCAGAGTTTAGCTGTATACATGGTGTGAGGCCATAGGCAGACACTGTTAGACAAGCAGAGCTGCTTTAACATTCAATTCAATGTATTTTTGTATAGCCCTAAATCACAACCGTAGGGATCTTGGAGGTCAGAACAGAGAATCAAACGGTTCAAACGCAGAAAATGCAACGATGAAAAACACATCGTACCATTTGTCCATATGGGGCAGATGACTGGATTAAGTCCTGCTGGATTCAAAGCGAGCTGCAGCGCTTTGAATACCTTTCAGCTCATTTGGAGAGTCCAGTGAGCAGAAAGCTGTTGGTGTTACTGATTAGATGTGGCTGTTAAGATGTAGGTCTTGAGTCCATTATTACCCCTAAATGTCTAACCTGATTTGAAGGTTTTATAGATAGAGGCTGGAGGTTACAAATAACGCTCTCTCCTGCTTCTGGCCCTCTTCCAGTATGAGTCACATAAATAGAAATACAAGCCCGCTCACAGTGTGGACATTCAGTATTCGGCCCCCTTGAACCTTTCAACATTTCGCCACATTTCAGGCTTCAAACATAAAAATATAAAAAATATTTTTTTTGTCAAGAATCAACAACAAGTGGGACACAATCGTGAATTGGAACGAAATTTATTGGATAATTTAAACTTTTGTAACAAATTAAAAACTGAAGTGGGCCGTGCAATATTATTCGGCCCCCTTGTGCTAATACTTTGTAGCGCCACCTTTTGCTGCAATTACAGCTGCAAGTCGCTTGGGGTATGTCTCTATCAGTTTTGCACATCGAGAGACTGGAATTCTTTCCCATTCTTCCTTTCAAAACAGCTCGAGCTCAGTGAGGTTGGATGGAGAGCGTTTGTGAACAGCAGTCTTCAGATTCTCGATTGGATTCAAGTCTGGACTTTGACTTGGCCATTCTAACACCTGGATACGTCTATTTGTGAACCATTCCATTGTAGATTTGGCTTTATGTTTTGGATCATTGTCCTGTTGAAAGATAAATCTCCGTCCCAGTCTCAGGTCTTTTGCAGACTCCAACAGGTTTTCTTCCAGAATGGTCCTGTATTTGGCTTCATCCATCTTCCCATCAATTTTAGCCATCTTCCCTGTCCCTGCTGAAGAAAAGCAGGCCCAAACCATGATGCTGCCACCACCATGTTTGACAGTGGGGATGGTGTGTTCAGGGTGATGAGCTGTGTTGCTTTTACGCCAAACATATTGTTTTGCATTGTGGCCAAAAAGTTTGATTTTGGTTTCATCTGACCACAGCACCTTCTTCCACATGTTTGGTGTGTCTCCCAGGTGGCTTGTGGCAAACTTTAAACGAGACTTTTTATGGATATCTTTGAGAAATGGCTTTCTTCTTGCCACTCTTCCATAAAGGCCAGATTTGTGCAGTGCACGACTGATTGTTGTCCTATGGACAGACTCTCTCACCTCAGCTGCAGTTATCTGCAGTTCATCCAGAGTGATCATGGGCCTCTTGGCTGCATCTCTGAT